AATAGTGTATATTATCATTCACTAAATTACTAGACAACAATTCATAAAAGAAAATTTATGCACAGTGACATCCCACTCATCGAAAACTGTTTAATTCAAAAGTAAGGATTAACTGCAGAAAAACTGTTCTAAATGTTTGAAAGTCATTAACTCCTAATGTGAAGCTATGGATTTATATCAATATCTGCCTTGTGCAAAAAAAACAACGTTGAATATAATGAAACGCATTTTCTGGGTGAGCCCAAGAGGCTCCCTGGAGCTTATCTGGCTAATTTAATATTATATTAGACCGGGACATTAGCTATGGAGTTCAGACCTACCAGAGACCAGCGCCAGAACCTGGTCCCTTCAGAGAGGTTTCAGGGAGTTCAGAGAGTTTCAAGGTTTCAGGCCCTGGAAACGTCCCCCTGTGATTGGGTTTTTCCTTATCTGCCATCGACCGAGACTAGGCACCCAGAAAGGTAGGCGTAACAAAACAAACCCCACACTGTAAGAAACTAACAACAAAAACCGAACAGAGATAGAATTCACTACAATCCCTAGGAAACAAGCAAACAAGCAAACGTAACACACAACTGCTGCGCCGTTCGTCCACGCAGCCTTCCCCCTCCCCGAGAGCGGGAGGGGGTCCCTTGGACCTCACCGCGCTGGCTGCAAAGCACTCCTGTTCGAAAGCTAAGCTTCAACAAACACGAAAAAAACGCCGACCGATGGGAGGGAGGGTTGCCAGGGAGCCTCCGGGGCTCACCCAGAAGATGGCGTTTCATTACATTCAACGCTGGTTTCCTGTGGGGAGCCCCTATGGCTCCCTGGAGCCTCATACCCAAGGAGGAGGAAAAGAAAGGGCTGACCCGGGAGGCGGTCGCCACAAACTCTGCAACATGAAGTTGAGACAACAGGCTGCAACCTGCGACCGAAAGCAAGCCAAGAACATCCAGAAGCAGACATGCTCACAAAAATAACGGGTGGCCAGGAATCTGTACGACCTCCAAATCCCTGTGCCCGAAATGAGCCCAAGGCATGTTACCAAACACGGCAGCAGAAGCTGCAAACGTCCGAATGGCAAGGGCACGAGGATAGACCACAGGCTAGCTAGATTTAATCCCGAGGTCGACCTGGGAGACCCGAGCCCGGGAACAGGGAACGAGGGAAAACAGATCAACCCAAAGCACATCCCCAGCCACGGCATGCAGGTAACGGTGAAACGCTGCAACCGAACAACACATGACGCATCCCCGGCCGAACCAACCAAGCATCAAAAACCCTTCTCAGGAAAGCAGCCGTGTCGGCCTTCGCCAGAAAAAGCATAGAAGGCTGCAACCGTACAAAACTACCACCAGTACCAAAAAAACAGAAACCCCCTGCGCCAGAGGAAAGCCGAAAGCTCCCCGACCCAACCCGACTCCCCAGAGGCCAATGCCAACAAAATAGTACCTTTGAAAAACAATCATGAACTGAAGGGGCTACCACAAACCGAGGGGAGAAAAGTTAAAAGAGCACCCTGACCAAGGATCAGGATGGCTCAGGCGGCGCATGAGCAGGCTGGAGGTGAAACAAAGCACGAGAAAGTGTATGGAACAGGGGGATGTGACGTCCACCCCAAACGCCAGCTGGAGCGGCTCTGCCAGCATTGCACAATACGAAGCGACAGTAAGAATAATCAAAGAACGGTCTAGAAAACCAAGAAAAGACAAGACAACCTGATGCGAAAGAAAAGACAACCTATGAAGAGCAAGAAAATGGCAAATAGAATCGCCAGGAAACTCTATACTCTCGCCGAAACGAAGCTCGCAGGTGGGACACTATTAACAAAGCCACCTGATCAACATATAAATGGTGATATACCCGCGTCAAAAGACCGGACACGAAGAGCTGAGGAGAAGGCCGAACCAGCCACGTATGGGATCGATCCGACCTGCCGAAAAAGGCGGAGCCGCTGGAAACGCCACGGGTTCGGACACCGATCAAGCAGCGTCTGAAAACAAAGCTGGGCCAGCCACAAGGGGCCACGAGGACTACTCTCCCTCGAGGTACAGGTAACTCCACCTCGAATAGTCCTGCCGAAAGGCATCCACCGCGAATGCCTCGCAGACGGAGAAGGGTGCCACATAGAATGGTAGACACCGAGACCACGCCGACGCGAGGATGTCCATGTCCTGGAGTCCATACGTCCGGCAGAGCCCACGAAACAAGTTGGCGACGACCGGCCAATCCCCGTGGTTCCGACAAGGAACCACCAGAGAAACTGTCCACCAAATAATATACACATAGAAAATACTGAAGGGTAAGGTCCCAAATCTACCCAGTAAAATAACAACATACTGGAGTGAACGATATGGAAGAAAATGCAGAATAGAACCAGTGAAAAGCAGGGGTGCCTTAGGCACAATCAGAGAAAAGTATATAAACATCAGAGGTCCGTAGTTGTTCAACGTCCTCCCAGCGACTATAAGAAATATTGCCGGAACAACCGTGGACATCTTCAAGAGAAAACTAGACTTTTTTAAAAAACGTGCCAGACCAACCGGGCTGTGGTGGGTATGTGGGCCTGCGGGCCACTCCAAGCAACAGCCTAGTGGACCAAACTCTCACAAGTCAAGGTTGGCCTCGGGCCAGGCTTGGGGAGTAGAAGAACTCCCACAACCCCATCAAGCAGGTATCAATCAAGTATTAACCGCTCCTGCCCTACTGGTTCCTTTTCGTGGGACAGGGGTAGCTTGGATTCCGGTCCTGGCTACGGCTTTTCTTTGTTCCTTTTCCGGAACATACGTTTTTGTTTTCTGTGGTACACATCCTGCGTAGTTCTCCTTATGTATACCTCAGAGACGCGTGCGTCGTTCTTCCCTGATGGAGCTGGTTGCGCTGCTTTTTTGGGGTTGTGGGTGGCTGTTTTTCACTTCGCATCTCGCGCTTCAGTTTGTGGTGCTCATTTTCCTCATTGGCCTCTGCCTGAGCCTTGGCTCTTTGGTGTTTGGCTTTGTTGGTCCTTCAGGGTCTGGGGAGGGGGGGGGGAAGAGTTTCCCTCCCGGACGGGGCATGTCTGCTCGCCCGGGTTGGGTCCTTTTCGGCTCGCCGGGATTGGGGTCCTGGTTCCCTGGCGGCCGTTCCTTCTGGTTTTTGCCAGCCTTGGTTGGGGGCACTACTTTGCTCGTTTTCCAATTCAGAGGGTCTTCCTGTTTCTCCGCCTCTTTTCGTGGTGTAGGTGCGCTTAAGGCGCCTGACAGCTGGGTGGGCAGCGATTAAGATTCGTAGTCTGAGGTTCCAGGTTCGATCCCCGGTGGAGGCGGAGACAAATGGGAAAAATGTTTCTTTCACCCTTAGACCCTTGTTATCTAGCAGTAAATAGGTACCTGGGAGTTAGACAGCTGCTACGGGCTGCTTCCTGGTGGTGGAGGCCTGGTCGAGGACCAGGCCGCAGGGACACTAAGCCCCGAAATCATCTCAAGATCACCTCAAGAAGCTCCAGCCCTGAACGAGGCTGGTTCATTCTTCCCCTCTAGTCTTCGCGTCTCGAGTTTCTCGTCGCTTGTGTGGGCCCTGGTGGCTTCGTTGTTGTTCTTCCACCTGCGTGCTTCATCTCAGCGGCAGTGTGTAGTTTTCCTCGCGGCCTTTCTAGTTTTCCTATCTCTGCGAAGGGTTCTTCGGTCTCTGATAGGGTTGTCTTGTCTTTCCCTTCGAGGTTGTTCCGGGACCGTCGTCTGGTGCGGTGTACTATCGTCGCGTCTTGAGTGGCACTGGCGGAGGTGCTTCAGCTTGCGTTCGGTGTTGCTGTTCCTTCTGCTCCGTTCCGCTTGCTGTCTTGGGCGTTGTTTCACCTCCAGTGCTCTTGCTTTTCCGGTGCGGTCCTGGTCGTTGGCCTAGATGGTCTATTTTCTTTCTTCTCAGTTTGTTGTGATCCCTTTGGTTCTGGTGTGTTTTTGTTTTATTTTTCAGGTCTCCTTCTTCTGTTAGCATCGACCTCTTGGGGTCAGGTCAGGGAGTTTCAGGTCTCTTCTGGCGCCCGTGTTTTTTCTGCCTTGTTTGGTCCTTGTGGTAAGTTGTTCGTTTGTTGCAGTCTCCTTCTTTTCGGGTGATGTTTGGGTCTGCTGCTTTCTGGAGGGGTCCTTGGTTGCTGCTTGGTTGTCCATGCCAGGGGTGCTTCCTTGTTGTTCGGTTGCGGCTCTTCGCTGTTCTCTGGGTGTCTTGGCCTCTGGGGCTGTGGATGCATTTTGGTTTGCCCCGGTTCCCTTTCTTCCCTCCTTCCTGATTTGGGGTTCGGGTCTCCCGGGTCGTCTGCAGGGGTCCTTTAGTTTCGTCTGTGGTCTTGTTTTTTTGTTCGGGCACGTGGCATCTGCCTCCCGGATCCTTCCCTCCTTTCCTTATCTATGGTGAGGTAGCTCCGGGAAGCCGACGGGGCTCCCCCCAGAAAACCAGCGTTGAATGTAATGAAATGCCATTTTATGGGAGTGTCCCGGAGGCTCCCCGGCATCCCTCCCTCCCTCCGGTCAGCAGTGTTTTTCATGTATTTTGACATCCAGCCTAAGAACTGCCGGTTGGATTGCTGGCGCGGAGGGTCTGGGGGCTCCCCCTTCCCTCCGGGAGGGGTTGTGCAGACAGTGGCGCAGCGACGTGATGATGTCATGCTAGTTTGATCATTTTATTTGGGGAGTTCAGTCCACTCATTCAGCTTTGGTAGCAATATTTTCACCAGAATAGGGGTTTGTTTTGGGGCGCCTACCTTTCTGGGTGCCTATCTCGGTCGATAGCAGAAATAAAATGCTCCCAACCACAGGAGGGTTTCTATAGGCCATTGCTCCTCGTGCCTCTCTGAGGGGGCCAGGTTCTGGCTCGTGGTCCCCGGTAGGCAAGAACTCCAAGCACTTTAATGCCAGCAAGTTATACATATCCATTCAGCCTGGATAGCTCCAGGGAGCCTCTGGGACTCACCCAGAAAATGGCATTTCATTACATTCAACGCTGGTTTTTTATTAAGCTACACGAACAAATCATCCAATACTCACCAGCATATCTATCAGCTCGAGGAGGGGGAGCCAGCACGGGAGAAGTGATTGATGTTACCGATGGTGCAGGGGATGACACACCTAAAAATTATTTTTTGTCTGTTTAATGTCCTGAGTTAAGTTCAAGATCTTTAAGTACAGTAGATCAATCAATCAATTCCAATCACATCAAGTGCCATTTTGAAAAGTTCTCTACACAATTTACAATGCTGACTGTTTTCTTTACTTCTGCCATCAATATTACTGATAAAATAACAAACATTTGCTGGATAACTGTAAAGATTATTCTGGCTGTCAATTAGAATTTTCTTGAGCACATGTACACTTTAATACATGAAATGGTGCAGCTGCCTCACAGATAACGGTGACAAATATCTAACAATTATCACAGATGGTTATTTTATAACCAAGAGTGATAGTATTAAAATGGAAACCCCCAGTCCAATGTAATGTATTACAGTGGAATCTATTGGAACTAAATTGTCTAGCACTAAGCAAATTGCAAATTAATGATTACATCAGTTTACAAATTTTACAAAACCTGTACTCTATCGAAGATCTGTACTCCTGTCGAAGATTTCAGGGATCAATGTCCCCCATCTATGTCCCGAACCAGGACTAGGACTCCTGGATGCTGGTTTTATCTACCAGGTTGTCTGATGCGGCTGCTTACAGCCTGACATATGAGTTACAGCCTTGTTGATCAGATATCCTTTCAAGGTGCCTGTCGAGTTCAATAATGAACACACAGAGAATGGCTAGTTATGCCTCGTAGGTGTAGGGAAAGTGTTGAAAAGTCTTGGGTCTTTAATGCTGAGATTTATCTCAGCTTCCCTATTGCACCTTTGTTCTTCAATAGGGCTATTTTGTACATCCTGCCATGCCTTCTGGTCTCGTGTGTTCAAATTTGGAACTAGTCTTTCTAATATTTTAAAAGTGTAAACTATTATGAATCTCTCCCACCTGCGCTTTAGGGAATGCAGATTTTAAATTTTTGTGTGATCCCATTAATTTAGATGCTTTATTGAGTGGATTCTAGTGGTAAATGATCTTTGCATGCTCTCCAGATCAGCAATTTCTCTAGCTTTGAATAGAGCTATTAGCGTACAACAATATTCCACTCTAGAAAGCACTAATGCCTTAAAAATTATCACTAGTAAGGCATCTCTTGTTTGGAATATTCTTGTTATCCAACCTGTCATTTTTTGTTTGCAGTTGTGAAATCAACTTGTGGTGTTCTTTAAAAGGTCTTCCAACATGATTATTCCTAAATCTTTTACATTGCTTTTTCTTTCAACAGTGTGGGTTGACTGTGCATCATATGTGATTTCGGCTTTGGCGTTTGAATTTTTTCAATAATGAAGTAATTAGAATATATCCTCATTAAACTTCATTTTATATTCTGTGACTCACTGAAAGACTTGATTAACATCAGATTAGAGGTTTCCTGCATCCTCTATGATGTCTACTGTCATGAAAATTCTAATGTCATCAGCAAAGGATGATACAGTAATATAGTTTGTATCCTCGTTTATGTCTGATATGAGAATGAGGAAAAGTACCAGAGCAAGCACGGCACCTTGGGTACAGTGTCCTAAAATGGGTCAGCACTAACTGGGACTTAACCAGTTCATCACAAACTTCAATTCGGCAAACTGGGATAGAACCAGATCCTTGGCCAGCTGACATGCAGACCAACTGGGGGCTCACATCAGTCAGTCGACAAGGAAGGCCAACACACGAACCTCTAACAAATGCAGTTGGGCCACAACAATCCTCGCTAACCTGGTAAACACATGGGGTCCAGGCTGAAGCCAATAGGAAAAACCCTAAAGCAGTAAGAAGCCACATGACAAAGCTTAAACAGTCCTTGAACCGCAGATGAATAGGGACATGCCAGTATGCATCCTTTAAGTCCAGGGATACCATCCAAGCCAACGCCTACAATAGTATGTGAACCTGGGCCAAAGTGATCATGCAGAATATCAGGCAGGAGATAAAGGTGCTCAGAAAGAAAGAAGAGCACCACACACTCGGAAACCACTGTCACCCAAAAGAGAAAGGGAGGTGGGACACCATCAAAGAAGTCACCTGCTAACCACAAAGATGGTGATAAATGCGCATCAATAACCTGCCAAGAAGAGCCGAGAAGAAGGTCGAACCAGCGAAATACATTACTGTACTTCATAAATTCTACTATTGTACTACATTAGTTCATTACTTCATTACTTCAAACCAAGGCTGACTTGGCACCATGAAGCAAAAAGGACAACTTTACCCTGGTAGGATGCTATCCTGGCAAGGACCTGGAGCAACAGCAGGACCGGGAAGAAGAGGTATAAGAACTCAACCAGTCTCAACTAGTCCAGCCAAAAGACATCCATCGCAAGGGTCTTGTGATCGAGGCACATAATCGCATACAGACAGGCACCAATTCCATGCCAATGCAAAGAAAGCCACATCAAGTTGAGGATGTCATTTCGTTTTGCTTGTACAAATCGCATAACCACAAGAAGAAAGCAGCATTGATGATCCGCTCTTTGGAAATGGGGCAGACTGTTCGCTAGAACGTTGGATACTAACTGGAAGCGAACAGTGCAGAAAGCCAAACTCCGTGAATCCAGCAGAAGAGCTATTCGAAGCATCCATCTCCAAAGGGCAAGAGACTGAAGTGAACCTCCCCTAGTTGGAACAATGAACCACAGGGAAACAGTGTAAATAGGGTTGGAGCATGGAGCCCAGAGGAATCTGAACATTCCCAAACCATATTTTGAGCTCAGTGAAGATGAGACCAATGACCCGGGCTGGCTTGGAGAGTGCCGTTCACAAAGTTCACATCCCAGAGCCTTAGTGTCCATGAAGACATCGAGCAAATGCAGAGGAAGGCACCAGGGAATCGAATCCTGAAAAGCCAGTCAGTATGAAGCTCAAGGAAGGCCCAGAAACTGCCTGATGGAAACCAAATGCAAAGGAGCACAAAGGCCATTCAACACAGGCACCACCAACAAAAGAACCTGGATTTGGAGCTGCACGAGATCCACATTTCGAGCAAACAAGTGGGAGCAAACAGGCAATTATTGAGGGGTGAAAAGGAAGGCCCCCAGAAACACTTGCAACACAGTCAACACTTCATGCTAGTCAAGTGTGCAGGTACAACAAAACCCGCTCCAATCACCAAAGCGAGAACAAAGGATTGTCTTCCAGCCAGGAAGACTCCAAAACCTCAAAACACATCCAAAAGGGGAATGACCCAAACTCAAATGAGGAAGGGTCCATCAAAGAGGTGTAATCCAGGTTTCACGGGAGGTACGTAAATAGAGCCTCTTGAGCCACCAAAAGAGTGACAAGAGAGGAATGAAAGCTTTGGAAGGATGGTCCCTATGGGGCCCAAAAGTACATGGAACTAAACCCTACAGGAAGCTGTACTCAAATCATACCATACAGTGATGTCAGATATGAAAACCCTCCCCCTGCAAAAGTAGATCCTCCTTGGAGGGAACCAGGAACCACTTAAGAGTTGAAAGGGCCTATGGGCCCTTATCAGACTCTCCCTAAAGCCACAGAAACCACACTTGAGGGGCCAGTGTCAACACCCACCACCCCAGGATACAAAAGTGGAATCCAAAGGAGTGGTTTCAAAGGATAAGGGAATGGCAGAAAGGATAACCCTGATGCCTAGGCAGGACTAGCCAACTTTACTGCCTCCAAGCCCAATTCATAAGGGGGAAAACCCCCGGAGTTGACCCAGTCACATCCTGAGCTGAACCCTGCCCTGAACCGGCAACCCTCAGACACTTTGGGGCCCGAAGCAGGGGATTGAAGATCAGAAGTAGGGTGAAACATGCCCAAAGGGAGGGAAGAGGAGGTGCGAACTGAGCCAAAGTGGTGTTCACCAACAATGCCAATTCTGGTTCCATAAACACCAAACTGGGCAGCTCTGGGGAATCCAAAAGAGCACATAACCTAGACTACTGAAACCTAGCAAAACAAACACACAGAGCCATCACTGCCTGGTAAGCCCTAACTTCATCAGGAAGGTCAGAATGAAGAGTCACATGGTAAGAGCAAACCCCAAAGGCCTCAGGGTCTAAGGTGTCAACAACCCTCCCCCTGGTTGAGGCCTGGTCGAGGATTGGACAACAGGGACGCTAAGCCCAAAAATCAACTCAAGATAACCCAACAGGCAGCTGGGTGGAGACGGAACGAATAATCTTTGTTGAGTAGCACGGACAACAAGCAACCCTCAAACTTGCATAAAACGAGAGCAGGTTTGGGGAATATTCACACGACCATTGAATCCACAGAGATTTCCAGAACCTGAAGGGTAAACCAAAGAAGACACCCTGGCAATGGGGATACTACACCAGAGCTAAAAATAAGCCAACACAGCCTGAGTTAGACCAAAACATGAAATGAAGCACAATGAACCAACAATGCAAAACATGAGAAGGGCAAAATAAAACCCAAAAATGGTAAACCAGCCACCCCAAGAAATAAAAACAATAAGAACCCCCCAGGAGGATAGGGACAAGACAAATTACATGCTCCACAAGTTCAGGGAGAACACCCAAATGACTGCCACGAGAATAAGACGGACACAGAACAAAGAGGGGAATCAGAAAGAAGATTATACAGAGGCAGCCTGAAAAGTCTAAGAGTAATCGGTAACCCCAATGCACGAAAATGCCAATGGTGGCAAGAAGAGAAGGCCCATCAGGAGGAACCTCCCGAAGGGGAAGGTACCGACCAACCGCCCAGCAAAATGTGAAATACCAGTATGGCCTAAACAGTTCACTAAATGAGGTGCCATAAACATCATTTTCTGGGTGAAACCTGGAGGCTTCCTGGAGCTTATCTAGGCTGATATGCAACTATCAGACTTTGGCATCACCAACGGACCTGAAGGGACGCGGATCCGAACCCGGGGTGGAGCCGACACCAAATCCAACTCCTACGCAGAGAGGAAGGAAAAGAAAACCCTACTCTACGTAACAGTAAGCCCTGCTCAGAGGGTAGGAAAACCTAGCGTTTTCCTACCGCTAGGTTTCAAAGGGGCCCAAGGTGGGGTTCAAAGGGGCCCAAGGCAGGGTTCAAAGGGGCACAAGGCGGGGTTCAAAGGGGCCCAAGGACCCCAAGTCAGCCCTTCCCCAACCCTGGCAACCTCCATACCAGGACCCGGGATCAAGTAATCCTCTAAAGCCCCGGCCTCACAAGAAAAAACTGGGGCAGCCAGAAAGGCAGGAAGGAAGGAAGCCCACTGGTCAGAACCCGTTGCCACAGCTGGAGGAACCGACTCGAATGCCACCGTCGCCCTCCCCCACCCCTAGAAGGGGCAACCCCCGAAACTGCTCGAGTCTCAGAACCTTCTAAACACTGACCCGATCCTGAAGCCCTTAGACACTTCAGAACCGGAAGCAGGATCACATGTACAATTCTATAGGCCATTGTTCCTTGTGCCTCTCTGAGGGGGGCCAAGTTCTGGCTCATGGTCCCTGGTAGGCCTAAGAACCATTCACACATACGGGACCAAAGAGCCAAAGCTCAACCCCCGCAAGCACAATTAGGTGAGTACTGACTGATGTCAAAGTCTAATAGTTCCATATCAGCCTAGATAAGCTCCGGAGAGCCGTAGGATCTCTCCCCAGAAAAAAGGGTGAGCCACGGATGGGCCAGAGGAACCACGAGCAGCTGACATCTACCGAGCATGGCAAGCATGATGCTGACCTACCAGAAATGCACCAGGTGAAGTGAGTACAAATAACCCTGAATCCAAACCAACAGAAGGCCTACCTCAACTCACAGCAGCTGAAGGCCCAGCACCCTCCCAATGACCACCAAGCCCTGAGAATACACAAAGGCAAAAATGGCCAACAAGCATAAGCCATTAAACAGGGAGGTAGTTGCAAAGTGCAACACCGATGTTGACCAGGTCAACACTACTCACCAAAACACAAGGCAGGCAATGACCTGAATCTGGGACACAGGGACAAAGAGCTCAGGAGGCACAGCTAAAGCTGCCACACTAAAGGCCAACAAGTGGCCTTTAGGGGGCCTTGTGGGGCCTTGTGGCCCCTCTCACCAAGTGCCCACAAGGTCCCCAGGAGCCAAATGAAGAAAGCTCCAGGAGGCCCAAGAATGTGTGATGGAACCCAAAGCAGCTGGCCTGAAGGGAACCTGCCACAGGTGCCGCCATGAAAATAGGGGACCTGAGCACAGAGTCGCACAAGACCCATGACCCAAGAAAACAGGAGAAACTGGTCAACAAGGAGGGGCACTGAAGAAACTCCCCTTCCCCGAACACCCAAAATTCTCACCACGTAACAGTGCAGAACAGGCAAAGGTCATGCAAAACCCAAGTGAGAATAAGGAAAGTCTGCCAGCCTGGAAGACACCGGAGCCTCGGAACACTACCAACAGGGAGAAGATGACCTAAATGCAAAGGAAGCAGGGCCAAACCAGGAGGCAGAACCAAGTCACGGAAGAAGCATCTCACAAAGACGCGGAACCAAAGAGCCGAAGCTCACCCCCTAGCTAGCACAACTAGGTGAATACAAGCTGCTGTAGAACTAACCCGAGAGGGCATGGGGAATGTACAAGTATTTCCCTGCAGTGACTGTAGGAATGTAAGTCTTTCTCTGCAATTGTGTGTGGGGAGGGATGATTGTCAGTGTGTGGGTGCGAAGGAAAATGAAAGTTCCTATATTAGGAACATGTATAGGTGGGTAAGAGGGAGGGACGAATAGTAGTGGGTGGATGGGTAGAAGGGAGAGACGAGTGCTAGTTGAGGTGGATAGAAGTTATATAATGTTCATAAAGAATGTATTTTGGGGGCCCAAATATTACTAGAAATAGTACATTTAACAACTTTGGATTTAGTGACCATACTGATATAGGAAGTAGGATATAGCCACACATAGGTTGTTAAATTGAGTAGATATTATAATGAAATTAAATAAATCTATGTCAACATAGCCAACAATTCGGTAATGCAAACATCTCCCCATTCCCTGGGATCAATGCTGGGTTAATGCATAGGCCAACAAAGTTTATGATTAGTTTATATATATCAAGGACCTACCAAGGGTTAATATATATGGCTATACCTGCGACAGAAGTGGTCAAATGGAATATTATTATAAACAAAATTTTAAAGATGCAATGTGCCTTAAGTGGATAAGGAGAAATATAACAAAATTACGCCCTCCCTAAACATTCAGTAAACAAAAAAATGAAATTACCTTTACATACTGGAGATATTGGTCGATTGTTGGGCAAGTCAGATGCTACACTGTTCCCCAATAAACCTTGTGGGCTGCTGTCATTGGTCCCAAAATTAAGGTTTAGGCCCAGCAGGTCAGCTGAGCTTGTCTTGTTGCTGTTTGAGGGCACAAACAAAATTGCCATTCATTATATGTTAAAATATGTATATATCACTGAGACCATTTCATGATAGGCTATGATATTATTCTCCAAAAATTAAAATTCCTACAATATTTTTTGCAAAATACTGTAGGATCATTGAAAATGGCACATCCCAAAAATTCCACACAACATACAAAATTATGGACCATCACTAATTTCAAAGAATGCATTACCAGGGTTAAACAATACTGTGCAGTATTTCTGGAGGAAACCCTTAAATATTTCTTGAAGCTGTATCACTAAGATAGCTCCCCATTACTCAATCACATCAGTCATTGATGTCCTGTTGGCCTATTTTGGACCACAGCTATAACCTGGTTTCCTCCCCCCTTCACAGAGGCACAGAGTGCATGGAGACTTTTTTTAATCATCCTCATTGGGAAAGCAACCAGAAAGTGGACGAGACAATGCAGACAACTGCATGATTTATGAAAAGAAAGCACTGAAACAGCCAACTGACACTGCAAAAGATTCACTCAAAATTAATTGGTTTACTCGAAACTGGATATGAAGCACCCTGTTTTACATAGAGCTGCCAAAAGGTAGCATCCTGACCTAAAAGCGGTATCCGCTCAGTCCTGTCTCTGATGCAGCCTCGGCCATTCATCCCAGTGACCTGCCATAGTGAGTCCCATTTCTTTGGGACTCCCAAAAATTCCACACAACATACAAAATTATGGATTTTATGCATCACTGATTTCAAAGAATGCTTGCTTATTTCAAAGAATCTTGCTTATTTGCTTGTGCATTATTCATAACCTTTCATATTTGCTCACGAGTGTGTGTTTACAAGCCTCACTTCTTATGTGAACTCAGTTTAATCTACACTGCAATCTGCACATGTTTAGGGAAAATGTTTCCCAAGTGTTAGTTTAGGGGTTGCCCCTGCACTAACAGAGTTCACACTTGAGAAGCTCGGCCACCGGGGAAGAAGGCCTTGCCCTGAGTATAAGTCATGACACCTCTACAAGACTCTACAGTTGAGGGCATTCTGTATGTTTACATATGGGGCAAACTAAAGCATGCACTCTTGTTTATATGGAACTAGACTGATACCCTCCGCAGCTATCTTTATTCTACAGCATGCGTTTGGTGTTGGTTCTTCCAAAGAGCATTCTTAGTGACTGGGTATCCTGCTTGGTTAGTCACCATCAAGCCTTGGCAGCTCCCCAACGAGTCTGCAGCTGGCAGACTCATTGATCATTGATGATAGATCAACCCATCTAGCCCACACTACGTATGTGCGAGGTTGAGGGACATCCATCAGCATTACTACATATATCACTAGACATTTTTCTGTCTCTGAATACTGTCTGATGGTTGGGTGTTACCCTCCACCACAAGACATACAATGCATGGATTCAAGTGATGGTACTTAACAAGCAGCAAGCATGCAGCTGCTTAGGATTTATTTGCTCATTTGGGTTTGTGACTTGGTGTTTGAGTGAATGCTATGGAGTTGGCCTCTTGTTTTTCAAGGTTTTGGTCTTAGAGCAGCAAGTATTCATTTTCCTGCTCTGTCTTTCTCTGTGTTGCATTTGCCAGGCCCCTTACCTGGTTGATACCTGGTTGATGGGGTTCTGGGAGTTCTTCTATTCCCCAAGCCCGGCCCGGGGCCAGACTTGACTTGTGAGAGTTTGGTCCACCATAACCAGGCTATTGATTGGAGCGGCCCGCAGGCCCACATACCCACCACAGCCCGGTTGGTCCGGCACTCCTTGAAGGAAACAATCTAGTTTCCTCTTGAAGATGTCCACGGTTGTTCCTTCTTGTGTCCCTCTTCCTATTTGCTCTGAGCTCTCTGATGTTTCTGGGTTTTGGAGCCTGGGCTGCTGTTTGCATGGGGTGTAGCTTAGCCTTCTCTGAGGATTGTCCCTTCCACTTCGATGCAGGATGCAGTCGAGCGTTACATACCACTAGGTATCTGTTATCTTCTGTTCTGGTGGGGTAGGTGGCAGAGTTCCTCTCTAGACATGAGGCACAGAGTTCAGCTCAGCCACAGGACCTTCATGATGGGCTTCTGGGTCTGGGAGGAGCTCAAAGTTGCTTCCTGGGTGCCTTTCAGGTTTCTCGGTATTTGCTTCCCTCTGTGGGAGGTTTTGTTCCAATCTGGGGAAGTTTTGTTTTTCTTTGACTGCTCTGAGTGGGGTACCTCAGCTGCTCCTCCCTGGGTTCACTTCTGGGTCCAGTTCCGGGGAATCTTGCTTCTCACCTTCAGTTTGGCTAGGTTGGTTTTGTGGTTCCTTCTGCGAGTCCTGGATTTTGCTGCCTATTGTGCTTACCTAGTTGTGCTTGTGGGGGTTGAGCTCTGGCTTTTTGGTCCCACCTCTCAACTGTCAATCAACTAATGTACAGGTTTCTGAGCCTATTGGGCTCTATCATATCTACACTTGAAAGTGTGTATGGAGTCAGCCTCCACCACATCACTTCCTAATGCATTACATTTGTCTACTACTCTGACACTGAAAATATTCTTTCTAACATCTCTATGGCTCATTTGGGCACTCAATTTCCATCTATTTAACAAATTAAATGTTACAGAGTAGCAATGTATGTTGTGAAGCCTTTGAATGTTATGCTTACTAGTACCAAATCAACTTGCAAACAAATGATTTCAGCGTGAAGACTGCTTTGAGCAGTGTAGAAAAATGATGGCATTTTCTAAACACACAGCATTTTGTTAATTGAATGGACTGTGCACAATGTTCCTCAATTGAAACAAATTTTATTTTAACCTGCTTTCTTTGAACAATAATCACAAGTTCTTTTTCACAAATGGGTTAAGGTTTCATTTTGCAAGACCTTCAACATACAGCATTTTTCAAAGATTGAACTAAACATTTCCATGCCAATAATATCATTAGTTAATATTTTCAAGTTCTTTCATCAGCTGCTCCCTCTACTTTTCCAACTCGTCTTCACTCAGCTCGCCCTCCTCTAAGCTGACCTCGCCAGCCTCGCGTTTTGAGGATTTCCGTGCTGAGTCACCTTCAGAATGGCCTTTGGATCTTAGGTAATTACACTTAGGTAATTACACAAGTGTAGTTACAGGATGAGAGCTACGCTCGTGGTGTCCCGTCTTTCCAGCACTCTGTCATATAACGCTTTGAAACTACTGACGGTCTTGGCCTCCACCACCTTCTCCCCTAACTTGTTCCAACCGTCTACCACTCTGTTCTACCACTACTATCTATGTCCCTTAGTGTGTGTGCCCCTTGTGTTAAATAGTCTGCCTTTATCTACCCTATCTTTATCTACTTTATCTTGTGTCCACCCTCTTATGGGGTTGGAGTAGCTTTGGCCTTGTGGTATTGTTGCCAGTTTAAATTTTCCATGGCTTGCAGATGACCATTGGTTTCTTTTTTTGTTTGTTTTTGTGGGACCTCTTCCACATTTGGACACTCATGTGGGAGTCCGTCAGGTGATCATCTGTCTTGGTTTTCCCTGCTTTCGGCCCCAGCAGTTCACAGCTTCCATGCGTGCTTGGAGTGTTTTCCTTACCCGGTCCATGTTGCAGCCCATATTATCAAATGGCTCTTCCCATTCCCCGGGAGCTTTGTATGTTTGGGATTTTGGCTCTCGGGTCTTGGCTCCTCTTCTTTTGACTATTTTCTGGGGCTTCTTTACCACTGTTTTTTTCCATCTATCCCTTTTGTGGTTTACCCCTTTGGGCATGCGGTGGGGGGTTGTCAGCGACTTTTAGCCTTCTCATTCTATCTTTCAGGAGTTTTCTGGGGGCGATTCCTAGTTTTCCTGTGACCTTTCCCCCATCTTGTCCTCTTTGTTGTCAGAGGTTCCGATATACTCCCCTCTGCTCTTCACAGGCTTTGTGTCATGGCTGGTCTCAGGCATGGTCTTTCCTGGTCTATTTCAATGCCCTGTGGGATTTGGGGGTCCTGTTGGGAATTCCGTTTCTTGTCCTACTTTCCACAACTAGTGCTGACTGTCACTAGTCGATTTTCACTCGAGTTTGCCTAGGATTGCCAGTTGTTTATGGGGTGGTGTCCCTGTCCTCTTAGTCATGACTTGGCCTGTTCCTGCTCCCTCATGGTTCTGAGAAAGTCGGAGGTTTTCCAGGGAGCTTGCAACTTGCCTCTTTGTGATGGCCTCTAGGGCAGGCATCAGGCTTCTTGGTTGTTCTCTTGCTGGCTTGGGCTGTGTGGCCTCGCTACTTCCTTCATGATCTCGGCCTATCTCAGCAACTGGTTGGTTCGAGTTCTTAGCCAGGCCATGTGACTGCAGGCCAGTGTCCTTGTTCTTTCCCAGTTGCCAGGTTAAATTTTTGGAGACCTGGCAGAAGTTCTAGTGCATTCCATTCTGGGTTGGGGCCTAAGTAGTACTTGTTTGTTTTCCAAGTCGTTTTTCCCTGCTCCACTTCTGGTGGTGCTGTTGCACGTGTGGAGACGCATGTTATTTGGTGTTGGACTGGCCCCAGGTGGCCTTGCAGTTGTTTAGCTGTTGTGTAGGTGCCTCCTCATTGCTATAGGATGGGTACAGTGGGTCAGATTAGGTTCTGAACACTGTTGTAGTCCACTGGTTCTGCCAGTTTCACCACTGCTGAGGCCATCGGTTTTGAGACTGTCTGTCTTTTATTGGCTCATTTTGCCGCCTTCCTCTTCTGAATTTTCTGAATTAATTTGTTAATTTCGGAATTTATTTTGGAATTAATTTCCTCCCCATCCCTCAGGCTGCTCTCTCACAACTTGGCATTGGGTTGTGGTATTGTGCCCAGTGTTTGCCTTAAGGTTGTTAGTTTCAGGTTCACTGCCAAGAATGCAGGTTGTTTCTTTGTAATGTGCCCTTCTGGGAGGTTCCTCTTCATCCAAGACTCTGTTTTTCAACTTCATTCCAATTGCTCCTCAGTGGAATCTTTCGCTGTGCCATGGGCGTCTCTTCAGTCATTTTCCCTGTGGGGATGGACTCTTCGTGTTGCTTGGTTTCTCAGGGTTGGTTCTCCATATGGTTCCTGCATTGGGTATGCCCCCACAATCTTACAAATGGTTTATCTAGCTTCCATCTATTTCCCACTCAGTGGACCGGCCTTGGATGGCCTGATGAGTGGTGGTCATGAAGGCCGAGCGCAGAGCTAAGGTGTCCATGAACACATCGAGTGATGGGAAAGAATGGCACCGTCGAACCAAACCCTAAAAAGAACAAAAAGTAAGCTAATTAAGCAAGAGCCAACAAAGGATCCAGTATCGGGAAAATGGGCAGAACTAGAGTTACCAGTACAACACCCAGAGCTAAACATTTCTTTGAGAAAACATGGTACAGGCAAAGTTCAGGCTCTGACCACCACCCACGTTAACCTGGTAAATATACAGGAAGACAGATTCAAGCTGAAGGGCAGAACTTTGACGTGGAAAATCTGATGTGCCACAACAAAACCTAACCAGTCTCTAAATTGTGGATGAACTGAGATGAGCCAATAGGCATCCTGGAGATCTAAGGACACTATTCATGAGTCAGCCTACATGTCCAGGTGAGCCTAAGCCAAAGTGATCATATGGAAGGGTGGACAGGGAATGAAGCCCTTCCTTCAATCCTGAAAAATAGAAAATATACCACAGGTCCACAAAATCCCATTACAATACCAGAAACAACCTGGACATCTACAAAAGAATGAGGTTCTTCCAACCCTGCCCAAGTCTAATCATGTCGCATAGATTTCCTTGCAGTTGCAAGGAAGATTCCTGACCAGTAAGGCCCGACTAAAAGAGAGGAAGGACTCACCAACTCCTCTGAAGGCTTAGAGAAACAACCCAAAAGGCCCACAGATTTGAGTGACCAGGAGCTAACAAAACGAGCCAGAATTCCTCCCATGGCACCGTCAAAGTACTTCTCAGAAAGAAGAGTAAAAGCATAAGCTTTTATCTCCCTTATCTTGGATAATTACTGAATATCTACCTTAGATGCTGCGTGATGCTATTGGAGCGTTTCATAGAGGAATATGAGTCTTGCGTGTCTGTTGAAGTTCGTCTAGTCTGCAAAAGAAATATTACCATTTAACTCTATACTTCAGTATCATATTTAAAAGAAGCCTTATTATATGTAATCACTATAAAACCTAACACTGAAAGTGAGCCTATCTATCATAGCAATAACTGCTAAACAAAGCTCATGTGTATCAACCAACCAGACATGCCTGTGATGCCTACAAGTGCCCAACATGATCACATCTTGGACTCGGGTAATCAATTCATTAACCTCTGGGCTGCTATCAACTATTAACACTTTCGCGCTTTATATTAGAGATAACTCGTCGCCGTTTTTTCTTACGATTTCGCATAACAGCCTACTTTTCTCGTCCATCGAAAAAATATTTCTATAAATTCCATTTTTTAACCGATATGGATGGGGATACTCTCAGATTATATACGTTTTATTTGCGATTTTTTTGGTACCAGAATGAATATTATATCACATAAACTTCTATGAGTAAAAAAAAAATACACAAAGTATGTTTGGGGGTGTGGCGAGCGTGTGGCAGTGGGTTCCCTTTAGCCGTTGATATATCCAACACGTGGGAAATATTTGTATGTGTTATGTATATGTCTGTGTAGGGAATTTTACTGCGATCACTGTCATACAAATTATAAAATGTTTCAACAAGTATAAACATGACAAACATCAAACGAACGAAAACAATGCGTTCGTTTCTGCCGCGAACGCATACTGAGCGACGTGGTTCTATATTTGGCGCTTCTCTTACACATGCTTTGTACAAATGTTATACATTTCATCTTATAGAAAATTTTATTGCGAACACATTGGTATAAAAAAGAAATACGTACATAGAAAAGTAAGGTCAGGAAACATATAAATGTATAAACTTTCCAAGCATGATTGTGTTTTCGCTAGTGCGCTCGCGGCTAACTACTCTCCACTTCACACTCTCTTGCGGGTGGGCAATTACCTATATTAAACATTCATATGCATATGTCCGTGTAGAGAATTTTATTGCGATTCCAATGATACCAAAATTAGCGATGTAGGACAACTGTAGGCTTCGCAACCATTAAGAGAGTGGAAACATTTTGTTGCTGTTTGGCGCTCTCGGCGAGTGATCTGCATAGTTTTTTATTTGGTGTTGATACTCCTTATGCTTGGGCGGCATTTTATAGGTATGCTCTTATAGACAATTTCATTGCGAACACAGTGATACCAAATTTAAATACGTGCGCCTTCAATTATTGTCAAGACAGTCAAAAGAGTGTACACTTTTTCGGTCTTACCGCGTAGGCGCGAGAAGTGCCGAAAGCATCTGGGGTATTGTTTTTTTTTGAGCGCCGAGAGTGCGAAAGTGTTAATAGCTGACAACAGCCCAGTGCACAAGAAATAAAAAGTAAAACAAACTTAGTTTCCTTCCAATATTGTTAAAATGCATTCCCTGATCAGAAAAAAAAAAATCATCATTGAATGAGCCCTGGAACAGGAAAGAAGGAAAACCAGGTCAACCTAAAGAGCATCTCCAGTAACGGAGATGGTGGCGCGCAAATAATGGCAAAGACCCGCAACCAGGCAACACATGATGCACCCCCTCCGAACCAACCAAGAATCAACCACCCAAGGACCCCTCCGGAAAACTGCTGTCTCATTCTTCACCAGAAAAGAAGAAGACAGCTGCAAATGAACAAATCTACCACTAGGACTAAAAGAGCAAAAACCCCTGTGCCAGAGGAGAGCATGAAGCTACCTGACCCAACCTACACAGGCCAATGCCAACAAGAAAAGAGCCTTGTCAAACAATCCCGAACCGAAGGAGCTACCACGAACCGAAGAGAGGAGAGAAAGGAGAGCACCTAGTCCAACAACAAAGATGGCTCAGGCGGCACATGAGCAGGCCAGAGGTGAAACAACACTCAAGACAGCTTGCGAAACGGAGCTGAATTAACATCCACCCCGAACGCAAGCAGAAGTGACTCTGCCAGCACTGCATGATATGAGGCAACAGTATTAGGCATAAGATAATGGTCCTGAAACAATCAAGAAAGAAAGGACAAGATAACCAGATCTGAAATCAAAGAGACAAAAAAAAAAAAACCCTACGAAGATACAAAAAATAACGAAACTTCACCAGGAAACTTCATACTGTTGCCGAGACAAAACACGCAGGTGGGACATCATAAACAAAGAAATCTGAATAACATACAAGTGGTGATAAACCCGCATCAGAAAGACCAAACACGAAGATCGGAGGAAATCGGGGTTGCCCAAAACGCTGTGTGTATTAGTGGCTTTAGGTATTGTATGTACTAGCTCTAACTATGCAGTAATTCCAACAATATAATTGTAACTAATCATCTCTGTATGTACTTTTACCTGAATAAAAATTTGAATTTGAATTTGAGAAGATCAAAGAGGCGGAACCACAGGAAAGTCCCTGGGTTCGGACACCAAGCAAGCAGCGCCAGAAACCAAGGCTGGGCTGGCCAACAAGGGGCTAACAGGACTACTCTTCCCTGGTAAGGCTCCAAATGAGCTACAACTCGAAGCAACAGGTAAATCGGTGTGAAGAGATAAAGTGGCACCTCGACTTATGACTGCCCCTACTTATGAATTTTTTGAGTTACAATGGTACCTCAAACAACGAATTTAATCCGTTCCGGCGCCGTGTTCGTAAAGTGAAATGCTCCTCTTTCAAAACGAATTTCCCCATTTAACATATTGGAAATAAAAATAATCCGTTCCACCACCGAAAAACATCAATATGACATTAATTTTTTTAAATAATGGAACATCCTACCTGACAAACACCGAACAAACCTTTTTGACATTTTATTTTTTTTTCAATTTTTTTTATTTATTTATATTTTTTTAAGAAATATGGAGCAGCCTACCTGACAAACACTGAATGAACCTTTTTGACATATGTTCTTTTTTCAATTTTTTTTTTTATTCTCCAAAAAAAATGTCAATGCTTTACAACATCACAGCAGTCATCCGTTTACAACCCAGCATCATTAGCATCTTTAAACAACAAAAATAATTTATTTGCATCGTCAGAGGCGTCCGAGAATGTGTGAGAAGAAGCGGGAATGCACCATGTGGTTTTCTTGTTAATCAAACGAGCACTCGCCAATTGAGACAAATTGTTGGAGATCGGCACGCTCGTTATTCAAAATGCTCGTAAATTGAGGCGCTCGTCACTCGAGGTTCTACTGTACAACATAAATTTTGTCGGAAAATGCGACTTACAACCTTTGCCTCGACTAGCGACTTTGTTGATAAGTGTCTGGGTCGACCAAGCGAGTGGTCCCTGTGGCATAGGCCGACCTGGCCTCAGTTTACCAGAACCGCCCACTTAGTGAAGATCGCGCTTGTAAAGAATTTAATTGTTTTTGTGCTTTTTTGTTTTCCGATTATAAAAGTAATTATATAATATATCACGACATGGGTCCCAAGAAAGTCAGTGGTAAGGTTCAATCTAAGAAAATAGTTGTGAGTAGAGGCAGTAGAGGATGTCCCTTCCTCATTAAGAAAATGCGTGAAGTCTAGGAATAACTGCAAAGTTTTGTTGAAAAAACTCACCCAGATAAAGCTGTAGCACGCCATTGCATTGACCTTTTAAATGACAATGTGATGTTTCACTACAGACAAGTGTTAAAATGTTGGGAAAAACAAGTGTCTTTAGCCAGATTCTTATTAAGACAAGCAAGCAGTGAGCCACAAGCAGGTCCTACTGGTATGCCTGCAAAACATAGGAGAGAGTACCTCAGAGAAGTCATCACTGCCTGTTGTTATAACGGAAGGGGACTCCCCTTCCAAACACTAACTCCTCTCCTCTTCCCCCCTCCTCACTGTCTTCCATATGACAACAAGAGTCCTCAATAATGGTAAAATATACAGTACATACTGTATTGAATATTGTACATATTATTCAATAGTATGTAATGTGAAAAATTTATATAATAAAACATGAAGAACATCATTATACTCAAAAATAGTGTGTGCATTTGGGTGATAAAATTATATTTTTAGAACAATAAAAGAGTGTTTTAGCTGTTATTACACTGCAAATACAGACAGCCCTTTGCTTTGCGAACATAAGTTATCCGAAAGTTCCAGTACCACGATCGGGGTTGGTTCGGTTACTCAAGTTCAGGAAGCGTGTAGTTTGCATAAAATAGCTCAGGAAATATGTAAACGTTTGCCAGGCCTCGCGCCGGCCTGAGGTGGTGGGTGGGTGGTGGGGTTAGATGGCCTAGTTTACCCACTGACCATGTTGGGCACCACTATAGTGCCCTCTACCCTGTAATGTCACAGATTCACAGCCCATTGTTCTCCATTGTTTTGATTTGTCACAAGACTGGTGTGTTCATTCTGTGACTTTGTTGGATATATCTGCACAATCTACTAAAATCCGTGCACCATATCAGCTCCAAATGCATGCATTGTGTCAGTGAAAGCATCAACAAGCGGGATACGTAAAAGAATGAGGTCAGTGATGACATTTGAGAAGAAAGTTGAAATAATTAAGAAGGTGGAGAGCGGAGTCCCGTGAAGTGTTGTGTGTGCTGAATATGGCATTAGCAAGAGTATTGTTTTTTGTCTTAAGGCTAAACCTATCATTTATTACTATATCTCTAGAAGTGAAAGTGATAAGGCAGTATGAAACAGAAAGGTAGTAAGTAAAGCAAAAGTGGAGAGTATTGTTAATGCAGTGTGGGAGTGATACAAACAGAGGCATAAAGTGATGAAGAAGCCAGTGGCAGGCTTGCTGCTCGTGGAAAAGGCACGTGAATTTCACCAAGCAATGATAATTCCTCAGAAGTGTGTATACAGAGACTCAGAAGCTTTAAAACCTGCCATGGCATTAGGTTCATTAAGGTAAGTGGTGAAAGACAGTCTGGTGACACTATCGGTGCTGACGAATATTCAAGTAAATTTGCGGAGATGGTGCTGGAACAAAATTTATCTCCAGAGCAAATTTACAATGATGACAAGACAGGTTTGTGCTGGCGTATGTTAGCCACAGACATGA